GAAACATGCTGCAAAACAAGGCAAGAGAATTTATTGTGGTCAGCCTGAACTATCTTGCAACATAAATTCCTCATTGCAAACTTCATCAGTTTGACCAAATAAGCTTTCAGAAGCAGTAAAACTTGTTATTTAAGGTAGCAAACTGCGCCTCTGCAGCATGGAAAAAATATGAGAATACTAGGGAAATAAGCTTTCTCTTCTCTCTTGGACCTCTATGCAAAGATTTCAAGCTTAAGGTAATCTTCCCAACATTAGTCACTGGGAATTAGTATATCCTCCCCAGCTGTTGCTTCTAGATGCTGGGCCAGACTGTAAAAACTAAATAGACTTCAGTGGAATGCTTAAAATTCATTTTCTCACTCAAATGCTTTCATCTCACTCATTTCTTTGTGTTTACAGGCTGACAGGTTTCCTGAGGGCAGCCATGATTTAGATTTACATTCCCCTGGCCAGTCTGATTCTGAAGAAAAGTTATAACACCTGTAACATAATACCGTTTTTGAAAAGAGTGAAAAATGTCACGGTCTGAAAAGGAAGCCTCTAAACTCCAATAATCACAGTATATCACATATCTCTGCACCCCACGGTGGCACCTGAGGTCGCTATTACTTCAAAACACTTTCAATTCCCTTTCCCCTGTCTCCACCCACTCATTTTAAAGAAACCAAACCTGTCTCATCATGTTGGAGAGTTGGCTTTAAAAGTATCTCTGGGATTTCTCCTTTCTCTTATTCAGGTTAAGCTGGGAAAACTCTGGCGTCTTTGGGAGGGAAGAAAAACAACTGAGTGAAAGTGTAGTGTCTCTTTCTGACTGCTGTAAATGGCTGGACATCTTTGTGATGTCCTGCCAAGCACTGGACAGCCAGGATTTCACTCCTCAACATTTATGGGCTCCCACATATGGGCTGAGGGACATCAAAGTGTGGTATAAACTTCACTGAGAATAGTGCAGATTTAAATTTCAAGATGCAAAGAGCATGTGGTTAGAAACAACACCAAAGGGTTGCTTTGCAGATAACATTTAGAGGACAGGATAAGAGTTGAAGAAAGGGCGAGTCAGGAACAAGCCAAACACTCCTGCTTTCCTCTGAGCACCCCGTTATTCTTGAAGTATCTTTCATTTTATCATCATATTTAGAAACTGTTCACTGATATAGAATCATGGAATTATAGAATGGTTTGCATTGGAAGAGACCTTAAAGATCATCTAGTTCTAACCCCCTGTGGCAGGACACCTTGCACTGGAGCAGGTTGCTCAAAGCCCCATCAAACCTGGCCTTTAACACTTGATCTAAACCTCTCCTCTGTCAGTTTAAAGCCATTCCCTCTTGTTCTATCACTACAGGCCTTTGTAAAAAGTCCCTTTCCAGATTTCTTCTAAGCCCTTTTAGGTACTGGAAGACTACTGGAAGATCTCGCTGGAGCTTTCCCAAAGCCCAGCTCTCTCAGCTTGTCTTCATAGCAGAGATGCTCCAGCCCTCTGTTCATCTTCATGGCTCTCCTCTGGACTCTCTCCAACAGGTCCATGTCCCTTTCGTGTTGGGGGCCCCAGAACTGAATGCAGTTCTGCAGGTGGGGTCTCATTGACAGAGGAGTAAAGGGGGAGAATCACCTCCTTTGACCTCTTTTTGATGCAGCCCTGCATATGGTTGGGTTTCTGGGCTGCAAGTACTCATTGCTGTCTCATGTCGAGCTTCTTGTCAACCAACACCCCCAAGTCCTTCTCGGAGCTGCTTTGAATCCATTCTCCGCCCAACCTGTAGCTGTGCTTGGGATTGTTCTGACCCAGGTGCAGGACCTTGTACTTGGCTTTGTTGAACTTCATGAGGTTTGCATGGGCCCACCTTTCCAGCCTGTCCAGGTCCCTCTGAATGACATTCCTTCCCTCCAGCGTGTTTGCCCCACCACACAGCTTGGTGTCATAAGCAAACTTGCTAAGGGTACATCAATACCATTCTCCATGTCGCCAATAAAGATGTTGAACAGGACTGGTCCCAACACTGACCCCTGAGGGACACCACTCATTACCCGTCTCTGGTTGGGCATTGAGCGTTGACCGCAACTCTCTGTGTGGCCATCCAGCCAATTCTTTATCCACCCAGTAGTCCATCCATCAAATTTATGTCTCTCCAGTTTAGAGACAAGGATGTCGTGTGGGACAGTGTCAAATTCCTCGCACAAATCCAGGCAGATGACGTAACTGCTCTGAGTATGAGAAGAATACGAGCTTACACATTTTCTGCAGCTTTCTAGCTCCCTCCTTTTCAGTTTTCTATATACCTCTCTAATTCTTGTTACCAGACCATTTAAAAGCAAGAAGTTCTCAGTGTCTCTTGAAAAATGCTTTTCTTGCAATACTGGCTGCTGAAATGTAAAAACTCAGTGTTACATATCTCTCTTGGGTGAATTAGAGGTGTAAATAAACATACACTGGTAAGCAAGAAAAAAGAAACAGGCCCAAGAATTCTGAATAAACACCTCGAATTTCAGATATTTATATTAATCTATTTGGGGGTATTCTACCTTCGTCAATGGCAAAACACTTTTCAGCCTTCTAAGAAAGTATTTGGTGATAATAATTCAAGCCCCTGAGGATAGAAATAGAAATTAATATATTGTAGAGATACTCTGAAACTCACATCTTATATTATTTCCAGATCTGACTATTCTCACTATTTACTGTCCCCTTATGAGGTGCTTAAGAATCACAGATAATTCTATGAGGTTTCTTAAAAAATGTCATTCAACTTTTGTTGGACAAAAGAGCTGCTTCCAAAAAAAGTAAGTCAACATTACTTTGATCCTCCACCCATGTCCTTCTTCTGAGTAATCCAGAAACTAGTTTCCCATATCAAGCTTTATGATCATTCAGATTAGCTTCAGATTTGGAACTATGCTGGGAAGGAGCATATCATGTATCATAGCTCTTTGGACTGGGGAGAAAAAAGAGGGACAACCAGGTCACAAGTGACTTCCATCCACTGCAGTGCATGGGGACCTTACCCCAAGTCAGGATCCGATTTATTTCTTTATGGCAGTTCTTGGCAGCTGCAGCTGATGCAATAAGAATGTGTGGGCAGCTCTTGCTTGTAAGCTGGTAAATTGAAGCTCTGTCACCTTCATCTGTTTCTAACATAGGGCTGATAATGTTCAATCACTGCTTTAATCCTCTGTGGGGAATGTCATTTGAACACTGGTTTCAGTGTCCTGCAGGCTTTAAAAAAATATAGTCCTGCTTGGAGGAGCAGGTTGAACCAGATGACCTTCTGAGTTCCCTTCCAGCCTGAAACACCTTGTCACTTCCAAGTCTTGGTCCTTTTGTGGTGTAAGAAGCCAAGGCAGCCACGAAAATGCCTAGATTTGTTACCTGGCTCTGTGCCTGTGAGAGTGTGAAACGATGCATGAGACACTGAAAAAAACCACACTGCTTGCCCTTTTTGTCTGCTGTAAAATACTGGCCAATTCATACAAAATTCCAAGTCACAAAATTGCCATGTCATTGCAGATGCTCAGTGCCTCTTCCTCTGCCTGTGACACATGCAGGAGTGGCATGATTTCTCTCCCTCTGTGCCCTCAACAGTAGCAGCACTCTGTGTAAGGTAAAGATCAGGAGCTCATGAAGGCTTAGGCCTGCCAGCATTCACCAAGTATTCAGCCCATATGTGGTTTCTGAATGGTTCCAGCCCTGTTTCAGGAGCAGAAAACTGAGGTAGATCTGAGACTGAACAATACCGACAATATAAATGAAGGTAGCACACACTTCACAAATTTAAGCTTCAAAGGAAATTACAAATATGCAAATCTGATTTCCTTCTGCACTTATGGGTTTGGGGATCCTCTCCAAGACAGAATCAGCTAGATGCTGCCACAGTTCATAGAGTTTTGTCTCTCAGATATCAAGCTGGTCTGCTTTTGTCTTACTTCATTTAGAGCGTGCTTGCACATGCAAAACATTTGGGCTTGACAATATGGTTCTCTTCTTCTACCTTAGGAATCCACAAAACCTGAAATAACCTCTCCTGGGGTATAAAAGAAAGAGATGGATAATATGCTTCAGCCTTTAATGAAATATAATCCTTATTTATTCCTACAGCAGAGAGAATAACCCTGTAACTCAAATACAGAAGATTTGGAAGAGAATGATTTTTCATCTGACCTTTTATGTCAATGCATTTTTTAATTTTGTATATCAACACAGGTGCAATGTTGGAAAAGTTTGCGCTGTTGAAAGTGATTAACAAGAACCTGTGACTTAATATTATGTAAACATAATATTTTGTAAGCATAATAAAAGTTGGAATAAGAGCAGTACCTGCTTGAATCTGTGCTGTTTAGCAAGCACCTCTAAGGACCTCATCCCAAACAGCTGTCTTTTTACAACAGGATTGTTCGAGAGTGGGGCAGGCAGAATCTGGGAACCTGCACTGAGATGCAGCATTCCTCCCCTGTGTTACTCTGTTTTCAGATATCTTGTTCTTACATGGAAACAAATGGAATTGCTATCAAGTGCTGGTAGGCAGTAATTCTACAACTTGTGTGGAGTTTTTCCTTCAGCCAGAAGACTTGCAGTAGAGTTTAAGGGAGGAGGAGACTCCTCAATACAGGAAAAGGCAGGGTAAGATCAATCTTGTTATAGTTATTTAGTTGTGACTGGAGCCAAAGCCTAGCATATTTGACCATGTATAATTTCACTTCTCAGGTCACAGCTCCATCTGCAATCACCCTAAAGTCACCCCAGGTAGGGTGTGGAGATTAACAGCTATAGGTATAACTGGGATGTTCATGAACCCCTTTTGGGCACTGGTTACTTTTGAAGATCACAGAATGACAGAATGATTGAGGCTGGCAGGGACCTCTGAGGTCATCTGGTCCACCAGGGTCACCTAGAGCCAGTTGCCCAGGACCACATCCAGACAGCTTTAGAACATCTCCAAGAAAGGACACTCCACATGCTCTTAGGCAACCTGTGACAGTGCGTAGTTACCCTCAAAGTTTCATGTGCTGTCACTGCATGCTACTGAAAAGAGTCTGCCCTTCTCTGGTTTGTTATCATTAAGTGCCCAAGGTGGGCTTGGCTGGGGATAAGGGAGTATTCCCCCACCAATCTCCATCTGGGTGAGGACAGCCCTTCAGAAATTTAACTGTCTTAGGCTTTAACTAGCAGAAAATATTTTTTTTTTGAATGATGTATCTGTCCCAGCTCACTACATAGCCTGAAGGGAAGTTATTCAAACTTCTTAGCAGCTCCTTCCACATTTCTGATAGAATCAGAATTAGCCACAGCTATTATTCTGTTATTCAAAGTGGGTTGTAGAAACAATACATGTCTGTGTATTTTACTGTTTAGAGATGGGAGATGACAGGGAGTCCCCAGCTCACTTGTTTGCTACAGCGTGGACCTCACCTGGTGCTGGAGTCCAGACTTTGACGGGTTGTGATGATGGTCTTAGCACCTCCTCATGACTTGATTCTTCTCTTTTGAGGAAGTAGTACAGCCAGCATACCTATACTAAAATATTCTCCTGCTATGATCTGCTACCAGCTAATGTGTGTGCCTGTGGTATGCTGACATCAGAAGCCAAGAACTCATTCAATTGTTTGCTCAGTTCCCTTCAGTGGGTGGGGGAGAGAACTGGAAGGACAAAACCCATGATAGATTGAAATACGGTTTAATAAGTGAAGAAAAAAAATCCCAAACAATGACAATTAATGCAAAGGCAATGACTCATCACCATCTCCATGTGTTCTCACTGACACTTGGCCAGTTTCTGAGCAATGGTTATTTTGGAAAAACTCCCCATCCTTGTTTTATTGCTGAGCAGGATGTTATGTGGTATGAAATATCTCTCTGGTCAGTTCAGGTTAGCTGTCTGTCCTGGCTGTGTCCTCACCCAGCCACTTGCCCACCCCCAGACTACTCACTGAGCAGACAGAGAAAGGAATAGAGAAAGCCTTCATGCGGTGCCAGCACCACACAGCAGTATCTAGAACATCACTGTGTATTCCACAGTGGTGGAATTGGTTTGGTTACAAATCCAAAACACATCATCTTGGCAGCTGCTGTGAAGAACATGAACTCCATCTCAACTAGATCCATGCAGTCATAAGAAAGTCATACGAACTCCCTACAGCACTAGAACGACAGTTTGGCTCCATGAGTCTTCAAGAGCTCAGTAGTATGGCATCAATAACATTGTAAGGAACCCCATAGTTTCATGTCTCTGCAGAGAATCAGTCTGATATTTTATTAAATTCACAGGCTGTGCAGAGATAATGCCACTGTAGATAATGTTATGTGTATTTGTAATGACTATCTTCAATGAAATTCAAAAATAATATTCCAGAAAACAGTGTGTCCTGAAGTATAATCACAAAAAGGCACTCACTTCTGCTTTCAATTCATTGCATAATGTTCCCTTCAGTCCTTGGTTTACTAGCCTCAGTCTTGACAATTTTCTGACATCTTCACTGGGACTGGCTATTTCTTTCTGAAGTCATCAGTCAGCATCACAGCAGTGAAAAAAAAATATTAAAAATTAGATGAGTATTAGAGAACTTACCATTTCCTTTGAAAGAAAGCTAGCAGGAATTGTAATGTCAAATATGGCCAGCAATGTCCAGTCTATTGTTTATAAAAGGCCCTCTGTAAGATCCCAAGTTTTGACTTTGATAAGCTTAAGCCAGTTGTTAACCCACCATGCTGCTGCAGGGATGAGCTGGGCCTCAGTCCCAGAAGTAGAGAGTTTGCCACTGAAAAAAATGCTGTGGAAGGAAAAAGAAATATAAACTATCTGACTAAATCATAATTGTGCTCCTAGTAAAGCATAAAAATCCCCCAAACCAAACAACCAAAACAACCTCTACAAAAGACCCGAATCAGAAAAGGATTAGTAATCCACAGTTTACAGAAAAAGAGTTGGGGAATTATAGAATCACAGAATCAGAGAATCGTTAGGGTTGGAAAGGACCTTAAGATCATCTAGTTCCAACCCCCCCTGCCGTGGGCAGGGACACCTTACACTAAATCATATCACCCAAGGCCTTGTCCAACCTGGCCTTGAACACCACCAGGGATGGAGCATTCACAACTTTGCTGGGCAATCCATTCCAGTGCCTCACCACCCTTACAGTAAAGAACTTCTTCCTTATATCCAATCTAAACTTCCCCTGTCAAAGTTTTAACCCATTACCCCTTGTCCTATCACTACAGTCCCTAATGAAGAGTCCCTCTCCAGCATCCCTATAGGCCCCCTTCAGATACTGGAAGGCTGCTATGAGGTCTCCACACAGCCTTCTCTTCTCCAGGCTGAACAGCCCCAACTTTCTCAGCCTCCGTATGTTGTATGTTTTATATATATGTATGCATTACTATACCCACTGAGACCTCATGGTTATCTGCCATTTTGTCAGTCTGTGTCATTCACAATTGTTAGGAGCTCCTGTGATTACAGATCTCTGCAAGAGCTACAGCCTGATCATCTGTCAGAGGCAGCTCTCCACAGGAGTTAAGGACCTACTGGAAAAGCTGGGCTGTCATAACAGTGAGCAGATAGATGAAGTGGCAAGGAGGTGAAGATGTCCTTATTTTTAGTAAAAATGGAATTTTAATGTACTGTAACTTTCAGAATTTGTCAAACATGCAGACTTAGCTATTTTAAAGTTATAAAGCTCAGCAGAAGTGGCACTTTTACATATTACAGCTCTTACACACTGTCTCCTTCATAATTTTTCTAGTTTGCAGATCTGAAAGGACATAACTGAACATACTGTAAATGTTTAATTCCCCACAGCCTGTTCAAAGCAACACTGCGAAAGCCATCTCCTTATCACTGTGCTGCTCTGCCTGACTTACTCTCTTCACTCACTTTAAAGTCTTCACATCCCGCATCAGGCTTTCATAGAAGTATGGAATAGTTTAGGCTGAAAAACATCTTTAAGATCATTGAGTCCAACCACTAGCATAGTTCTGCCAAGTCCACCACTAAACCAGGTCCCTAAGCATTACATCTACACATCTTTCAAATACCTCCAAGGATGGTGACCCAACCACTTCCCTGGGCAGCCTGTTCCAGTGCTGGACACCCCGTTCCAGTGCTGGACACCCCTTTCAGCAAAGAAATTTTTGATAATACCTGATCTAAACCTCCCCTGGTGCAACCTGATGCCATTTCCTCATTCTATCACTTGTTACCTTGGAGAAGACCACCACCCACCTTGCAAAAACCTCCTTTCAGGTAGCTGTAGAAAGTGACAAGACCTCCCCTGAACCTCGTTTTTTCCAGCCTAAGCAAGCCCAGTTCCCTCAGGTGTTCCTCATCAGACTTGAGTTCTAGACCCTCCACCAGCTTCATGCCCTGCTTTGGACACACTTCAGCAACTCAGTGTCTTTCTTGTAGTCAGGGGGCCAACAAAATATGTATATAACTTATAAAAAGGGCAATTGATGAATCTGATTCAGTGGGTGAAAATCTTGATGTATTATGCCTATTCAATATACAAAGTATGATGCAATACTGCATCAAGAAGCTGCACTTCACTACAATATTTACTTATATATATGACAAATCTCTTTATTCTTGATTCCAAAATGAATTTTTAATTTCCATCAGTTCTCAAGCAATCTAACCTAGTCTTTTCTGCCACCACATTTTCTGATCATCTTCCAAAGCTTGCAAAAACTCTGCTATGGTCTTCGTTTTAAACACTTCCCCCTGCCTTTTGCCAGCTGGATTGGAATGTACCTGCAGCCCTGTGGGTATTTTTGCCTGAACAGCTCCATTAGCTCCGATCCATGTGCACGCCTCTATACATGATCCAGCCACTAGAGGGGACAGAGCTTTACGCTGATGCAAAAGCTCCTCAGATGAGATTTTGTAAAATACCTGTTTCTAAACAAGGCTTTTTCTTTGGCAGAAGAACAGGTCAGACAGGTGACTGACTCACCCCCTGTTCCTCCCTCCCCCGCTTTTGTTTTCAGACTTTCAGGTTGGTGGCACAACAGCTTGCAAAGAGGCAGGCTTGTGTTGCCAGGGTGTTACTCCCCTTTGTAGAGACAGAGATCTCTCTCCCAAGGTATTCTGCTAGGAATGGAAATAATTGTGCTCACATTGATGAGGCACTCTGAGATCCTGGGAGGCAAAGGCATGTCACACAACAAGAGCTGGAGTTAATATTCAGCACTCTCCACCACTGTGCTTCCTGTCTTTTGTATTCCCTGCCTTTTAAAGTGTTGCAGCTGCTTGCCATACTGCAAACCAGCTTCCTTTCTGGTTCTTTAGCTCAATTTGGTTTGCTTTCTCTCTCACACAAACTCGTAAGTTCTGTATATAACAATTGTGATGTATACAAAAAACTCTTAATGATCCGATCCTGTTAAGAACTTCTCACAGATGTAAAACAGTTAAAGTCTCCTCTACTTTGTGTCTTCCTGTTGCTCATATTCCGTGTGCTTTGGTTGTGCTCCTGTATAACCTGCTGGTTTAATTTGGCTGGAACGAAACAAACATCTTCTGTCATTTATGAACTGGCTGTAGGGCATCTGAGTGTTTTATAGCTGAGTAAAATAAATCTTAAACTAGAAAACTTGAATAGCTTAGCCTGTGGTTTGAAGGCATTAAATGAGAACTCAAGGGCATGCACCAGCTTCTCTAATGGCTGTTGAAATGCTGCTTTGGGGGAACATGTCAGGTCATGCAGACAGCTGCACTTTAGTTGGAAATGGTGAAAACTAATAGTATAGCATTTAAATTAATGAATATTTGGCAGTATTGGTGTGACTGTGCTCCTGTGGGGATCTGGAGATATAGCAGGGGTAAAGAAACTTTAACCAATCAAGACAATTCACTTTCCAGTTTTGTCATTCATTTAGATTAAGAGATCATGGTGAGACTGTCTATGATGCTGGCAGATTGTGGTTAGTCTTCCTGTGATGCTGAGAGTGAATTGATTTCCAGGTTAGTAAAACATATGATTATTACCTGGTTAGTAGATTCTTGAATATATGACTCATAAAGCTGTATCACTGTGTCTTAAAAGACTTAGTAAGGTGAAAATACTGTTTAAGCTTGAAGCTAGCAATGGTATGCAATAGAAATATTAAGAGATCTTAATGGGAAGAGGATAAAAAATGACCCAAGCTCCTTTTTAGTACATAACATCCCTACAGCTGGTGTTTGGGCAAGGAGCTGTTAAACCAAAAGATGGGGGGGAGGGAAGGAGGAGACATTTCTGCATACACTGGGGAAAAACTTCACTAGATTGCCTAAAGCAATTGTCAGAGGTGGCTCCTGTAGTCATCATTAGCCATAAGAGCAGAAAAGATACAGATATAAAACTCTTCAGGACATGTCCACCTTAGAGGATGGTACAGAGACTGATTAGAATCACAGGCAACTGGCAGCACTGCAGTAGCCAAGGAAAATCTTTATTATTAAATATAATCTTAACAATGCATTTGCTATTTGATCTTTTTGGTAAATTTCTTCCATTATTGTGAATCTACAGTTTTTAAGTGTTGTCTTATTTGCAAAACTTAGATAGTGTTAGGTCTGGAAGAATGATCGGACACAAGGCATGCCATTCCCGGGGGACAGATGTCTTATAAACCCCAGGTGAAGACCATTGCCATAGTCACCAGTATGTCCTAGCTTTTCAAAGGCCAAAGGATGCATCTAGTTCGAGGTGGGAATGGTAGGATTTCTGCATAAAGAACTTTTTATGCCTGTCACTGGAAGATGACATGATTCAAGATCATGGATTAAATGTCAATGCCTCAGGAACCAGACTGCGACAAACAAAACACCAACAGTTGCAATCCCCATAAACTGTAATCTGTTCACATGAACAGTCGTACTTCATCCAGCAGTACTATGCAGAGAAGGCATTGATAAGCACGGATACATATTTATCAATGACCTGCTTTCTCAAGACACAAATTGACTTTTTATTTCCTCCTTTTCTTGAGTTTGCAGAGGCCTACAGCCTGCACACTAACACTTTATTCAGTTGTTCAGGCGCTGTAAGTTTCTATTGAATTTTCAGCTCTTTTCCCCTTTCATAACCTCAGACTCCAGTTGGGTTGCTGGGGAGTAAGTAAATCAGTGCGCAGTCTACCATAGGGTTTAAGAGTGGCTAATTTCCGAAGCTAAATGATTTCCAACAAAGTATGGAATAGATTACTAAGTGTGATAGTGCCACAGAGGGTACTGCACCCCCCTTTCTGTTACCCTTCTCCTCTCCAGACTTGGCTGCTCATGCTCCAGGGATTTAAGGCTCAACTCTGCTCCCACCTGGCTGTATAACATTGGCTCAGACTGCTGGCGAAGCTGCTGACCTGTTACAAAGTACTGTGCAAATGTCTGTAGAAAATAAGAAATAATGATAACAAAGGTAAAATTACAGATCAAGGTATCTCAAGAACTTGAGAGGAAAGACACTGACATGAGGAGGAGTAAACTTCTAACAGAAGAAAATGGGGAGCTGCTTGCTGGTTTATGAGGTGTCTGTAGTGTTGATGGAGCTAGTGGAAGATGTTTGTTCTGTAATCCCAAAGGTTTGCTCTCAGGAGCCACAGTGGTGGTTGCACTCCCTCAGATGTTGCCCACCGGGACAACAAAGTCTCCTTGGATGCCTTACAAGAGGTGGTGAATTTAGCTCTGTCTTGTAGCTCATAAAATCATAACTATCTTTTGTGTATCCTAGCCAGTAAATACTTGTTGTGTACTTGTAAAGATCTGCATATACTGTTTGCAAAGTCTCTTCACCTGACTACAGACACCTGAACAAATAGACCCAAAAGAGGGGTGACAGCAGGATCTTTTCCTCAAAATGTCACCTCCAAGCCATTTCAGCACAGGCAGACTGTATGTGAAGCCACCAGTACACATGGAAGAGTATCTCACACAGTTATTGGGGTTTACCCAGCACAGAAAAACCAAAGTCACTACCTAGGGGACTTAGATAAAAGCTTTAACTTTTACAACAGGTGTTCTGTGCCTTGCTTGTTCTGATTTATTAACAATATATAAGATGATCCATATTTGGCCTCTGCCTTTAAATCATAGGATTTTCCATTCTAAATTACAACCTTTGCATTTTATTAGTGTGGCTTAGTCTTTTCTAAGCCTTTACTATGTCCATATATCTTACCCACATTCTAAGAACAAGCTTTTGTACTTATTATAAATTACCTTGGCAATGACATGACCACATCCACAGACATACTTGACAGTGTGATGCTGCTGCCCTGGATCTCTGCAAGCACACACAGAGAAGGAAGAATTTGTATTGTAGTCACACCAAAAGGGGAATTTGTAGGCTAGTAGCATAGGTTAAGCTTGGGGTGACGAAGCCTTCTGAACTGTTGCCTCTGCTGGGACAGAATCTCTGTAAGCTATGTGAAGGTGTTTAGGCCCTCTTTCTCAATTTCCTCATTCCTGGAAAGGGTGTTTTAGTTCCTCTTCCCTTGGAGGGACACAAGAATTGATAGATTAATGTTTGTAAAACACCAAAGAGAGAAGCACTGTGTAATGCCATGGTTGATTATTGCTACTCAACCTTCCAAAGAAGAATCAACCTATGTCTAGCCTTTGAGCTCAGCTGGATCTTTGGGGCGAAACAGAAAACTGTTCCATAAGAGCTCAGAAGCTACAGCTTGACAGCCTCTGTAAACACAGCAAGCCAGGATTTGCTGTGTGCCCTGAGCTTTTGGCATTTGCCTTACCCCTGATTCTTTCAGCTTTAGCTGGGAATACATTATTACATGTTAGTATTATTATAAAAAAAATGAACTTGCTGGTTGGTATTACCAATTTGTTGCTAATTTCCATGAATGCCTCCTCATTCTCCCTTAACTCAAATATCAGATGTCTGAATGCTGACTTTGAAGTCTTTTGGAGCAATGAATTACAAGTATGGACTCCCAGGAGACACCTGTTTGATAAGTCCCTGCCAGAACAGTGGCCAAACATGACTGGGTGTTTGGCCCATCTGAGCGAGGACTGGAGAAGGAGATGTTGTTATCCGAGGAAAAGATAAGAAATCATGAAAGTGTACTGAGCAAATTCCAGCAGTGGTGCTGTGACCTCTCCTAGCAGTGACAAAGGGTGGCACACATCTTTGTCTACCCAGAAGACATTAAGATAATTTCTGGAGGCATTTCTGGTAGTTTACTACAGTAATTATTTCTTTGACCTGTGTTGTACAATAATACATCATGAAGCAAATTTCTCATCTTCAGGCTTCAGTCCCTGGAGATGGATGTTTTGCATTTTGCGGGTCTGGAGCATCTGTGATGTGGATAATCCCACCTAAGACTTGCTCCACTGAAACCACTTCAGTGAAAGCTGTCCTGGTTCAGGGACTGCACAACTTGAGAAAAAAAATAGCGTCATTTTTTTCCCTGCCTAGTTATGGTTTTCTTTTGCAATGAAATGTGTCTTGAGAGTTATTAGCAGAGTCTGAATTGCTCATTCTGTTAGCTGAATGGCACCACCGGGATTGTGAAATCATGAATGCTGTGACCCAAAGGGTCCTGAAGAACCTTTGTGAGAAGAACAAGTCATTACTTAACTTGGTGTTGGTGTCAGGGCTACTAATGGGCTTCTTCACAGAAAGAGGAGATAGAAAAGTTGAAAGGGACTCCATCATCTTAAGGTCACCTCATTTCATGCACTACTCCAGAAAGTTTCCAAGTAGTGGGAGAAGTAGGGTACATGTCCTTGGAAACTTGAAGCCATTCAAAGCCTCTAGGGAAACCCAGAAGATGTCCAGATAGAAAGGCAAAGGCTGATAGCATCTGCAATTCTACAGCCTTCAACCCTGCAGTAACTGCAATCCTGTCCAGACTCCTCATGCCCCCTGAGACTGTGCTGCTGCAAGGGATGGACTATCAGCTCCTTGCCATAAGATCAATCTAATGTCTCCTACTATGGGAGGAGCATGTCATTCACTGGAAGCCAGTGTGACAGGCTCAGCTTTTTGCATCCCCGCAAACAGTGCTGCCAAGAGATCTCTCTCAGGCACACATCAGAAGAGGGTCCTGACAACTTGGAGCACACCTTCCTGCTTCATCAGCAATCCATAGCCTCAGGCTCTGTACCTCCAGCCAGCTGTACCTCTGTCTCCAGCTCAGCTCTCTCTGACCCTGAAAGTCTGCAGTGGAGGGTGCCATTCCTGCATGTCCCAGTTCAGGATTGCATGAGTAGCTTAATGAGTAGCAAACACAGCGGTATACTGCATATCTTGCTGCTTTCTCTTCCTCTGACAACCCTTTCAGCAGTGTGAAGGTTCATCATTTGCTTTCTTCTGAGCAGAGTCTCTTCTCTTTCAGCGGTATACTGCATATCTTGCTGCTTTCTCTTCCTCTGACCACTCTTTCAGCAGTGTGAAGGTTCATCATTTGCTTTCTTCTGAGCAGATTCTCTTCTCTTTCAGCTGTCCCTGCCACAAACCTGCCAACACAAAGATAAACACCTCTGTGGATTAAGTCCTTTCAGTTCCCTGGGAAAGGAAAGGATGCATGTCACTGAGCAGTTTCCTGGTTGGGAGCCATTCCTGTGGCACTTGACTTCGTCCCAGGCCCTTTAAACACCTGTGTTACCAAAAGCAGGGATGTAGCCACTGTATAAAGGACAGTAGTCCCTGGAAGGGATCTAGGTCTCAGCTGGGCTAAATGAATGTGGCAGGGGGCTGCAAAACATACAGCAGGGGTCACAGGTGCCTGAAATCGGGTGGAAAGTTCAGGTCTTTTGTGGCATGATGCTCTGCATTGCATCAAAAGGTATGGCTATAGTACGCCTACAAAAGGGACTGAGGTTGGTTTTACAAGGTTACAGCCCATGGCTTGTCTAAAATTAGCAAATAGACATATTTGTCATGGAAAATCTTATTCTGGAAGCAGTTGAGTTCACAGCAAATCAAGATGTGGTGTTTCAGTGTTCTCTTCAGCTGAAACAACATGTGGAAGAAGTTTCATAAGACTCAATATTGAGTATCAGTGGGTTTAGATAAAACCTAATCCCACTGCATGGTTAACACTAGCAAAACAACCAGTGGAGGAGTGGTTTGGATTAGATTTTTTATGTGGGACTGGGTGAAAATGTCTCAGCTCATATCTGCTCCTGAAATTGTTAAACTTTGCAATAAATATTTCCTGATTCTGTATTTATACATATACTTAATGAAGATGTTTGAATGCCAGAAGTGATCAGAATTATGTCTCTTACGTCGTTTCATAAGATGCTATTCTATCTTACACCAATAAAGACAAATTACTTTATTTGGACTTCAGTTCTCAGTCTTTTCAGTATCAGTCTGGATAGTTTGCTGTAGAATCAAAAATCTTACCAGTTTTTATCATTATTAGTGTGACTGCACAAAATGCACCATTCATGGTTCACTTTTCATTATCAGCAAACATAACACTAATTATGAATGTGGCTAATTTCCAAGTCAAATAAAATTGCTTCAGAATCAGGTCTGTTCAGCTTCCACTGATTTGATACCAAACTAGTGCTACTTCAAACAGTTTCTGCTTTTGCGTTGGTTGGTGGGGTTTTTTTTGGTGGTGTGTTGGCGGGGGGGGGGGTGGGGGAGTGTCTTTTTCTTTCTTAAATTTAGACAGTCAATGACTTTTTGTCTCCTTTGGAATTTTTTTTATTTATTTGGGTTCTCTTGTTTAGATGTTACACATTATCTGACACTGCACTGCACCATCTGCTCTCCAAGGTGAAAAAAAGTCCTTGTTTACATTTCTATAAGTGTTTTCCACTTCATATGTATTATCAGATGAACTTCCTGACCTTTTCTAGCACTCTAAATAATTTGTCAGTATAATGAAAGAATACATTGCTCTATGATTTGTCACTTGTTGTACTGGTTTAATTGATGAAGCAGAAAGCATCTCTGCATCTAGATTGAATTTTTGCAGCCTTCTGATTTAAAACATAATGTAGATAATGTGGGACAATTTCATGTTTTGAGTGATTTGCCAGATGGCTACATGGACGGGGATATAATTTAGATGAGTCTGCTATTACATTCCTCCATGTACGTGTTTTATAAAAGATCTTTAGTACATTATCGGTGGAAAAAACAATTAGGAATCTTCCAATCAGATCAGTATTTAACATTATGGATTGATTCCATTTTTTTTTCTTTTGCTCCACCAGTTAATGATTTTATAATCCTATCACTTAAATACCAAATCATCGCTCAGTGACAAGCCAACTTGCCTTGCTTATTCAAATGTATTCAAACCTCCTTAGGACTGGAAACAAGCTCTGAGATCTGAGATGAGTGAGGTTGTTGGTTCATTTTTCGAGGTGTAATCCAGAAAGTGCACAGATATGCAAGGCTGGAAAAAGGACATTTGAAGAGCAAGACAATTTCCATTTTGGAAACTGAGGTGGCTCACTCTATCTTCACCTCTAGCCTGGATACAAAAAGGCAGAAGTTTGCACTGGGGAAAGATTATTGCCGTTCTCACCAAGGATGTGTGCCTGGGGAGGAACAAACCCAGATATACATGACTGATGAGACTCATGTTTCAAGTGGTATTACTGCTTGCTCTGTGTGTAACAGGACTTTGTTATACAGCAGTATTTGGTTTTTTGTTTATGCTGAGAGACACCCAAGAGCCCTTTGCCTGCTGGATGCAGCACTTCAGCTGCCTGCAGCCATCTCAGCAGCCCCAATCTTGGCCAGGAGGAAGCAACCTCCACCCTGCTATGCCCAGTCTGAGCCCAGAGGTAACCTGTCTTAGCTCCTTGCCTAGCAGCACTCTGCTCCCAGGTGCCACCAACCCCAGGGGCTGTGGGGGAATCTAGCCCAACAGGGTGAAACCTCACATACTTCCAGCCTTTCAGCTGTGCATGCTGTTGTCTCTCTGTAGTCCAGGGTTAATTTTGCACCCATATTAGAACTTATTGTTGACCTAAACTTGATGCTGGTTCAAGAACATGTTTGTGTACATTTTTGCCTCTACCTACCACATTCTAACATCTCCTGGAGCACAAAACTAGTCCTGATATGCTCTATTTTACTGCTGGCAGAATTGCATATCTGTTGTGTTTTGGTTTTTTTTTTCTGTAGGACTAGGGATACATGAAAGTGCTGCATTGTGCCACAGTTTCCCAAAGCATATTTATCCATTCAGGTCTGTCTGGAGTACAAGTTCTCACAGCAGAATTAGTCTCTTGAATATTATTGAATTGCAGTCACAGACAATAAAACAACAGTCTTATTTAAAGGTCTGCTATGGTAGCTCTGCTACCAATAGTAATATCTTCCAACTCCTGGCATGGAAATATTAGTTATGAGGACCTTAGGACAGCCTTTCCCTTATGGCCCCAAAAGGGATGGTGACCGTAATGGATGGGAAAGGTAGGGTAGCCCATGCTGTGCAAAAGAAAGCAAATGAAAACCATCTGAGTGCTTTCCTACCCCCAGGAAGGATGCAAG